AAATACTTACACACACATATATATATATATATATATATATATATATATATACTGTATATATACTTTTACAATGTACTTTTGAAGGTAAACAAATATGTTATTTCAAAGTAGTTTGTAAAAACATTGTACAGTGTGGTTGGGAAATTGTGTACAAATGAACTGCTGACAAGATGCTGGATACAGCATAGCCACAGGAATCGACTTTAAGCTACGGCAGGTAAGACAGGCATTTTTGTTTTCTTCATTCTTCCTGATGTTTATGTTATAAGGCAATTTGATCAAAACCATTTTCAGACACAAAAAAGCTACGGCTACACGCAGGTTATTCAGTTAGTGTTTCGTTTGGGGTCTCTCCTCCCTCATGTGTCGAGATGTCTTCTTGTCAGGCTTCTTGTCCCGAACCTTCCGCAGTCTCCGTGGTGGAGGGGTAGATTTGGACTCGCTAGAGGTGTCCCCTGCATCCCTGTCCTCTGGGATGTTGGGAATGGCTGCACTACTGCCTTCCAAGGTGTTCCTCAGGGACATGTCCTCGGGACTCCCAATTTCACTGCTGCTCAAGTCCTGCTCTTGATTTCCACTTATTTTAGCCATGCTAGAGCTTGAAGGTTCCTCGCTTTTCCGCAGAGGCTGCTGCAGCTCGTTCATATCCACTCCAGAGTCCAAGCTTGTGTCATTGCTGCTGCCTGGACGATGTCTTCCCTGAAGCTCAATCACAGAGTGACGAACCTGGGCTGCTGGTTTACCATCAAGAGACACAAACCAGGCCCGGGGTGGGTGAATGGACGGCTTACCCTTGGAGAGATCCAGCAAGGTTTGCTCTGATATTCCCTGGAGTTCCCCACGGAAAGGCCCCATTCTGGCTGCTTCGTTCAAAGTTCCTGGGACAGATACGGATTCCAGGAGATGACTGTAGCGGCCCCATAACCCTGGGTTTGCAGCAGCGGCTTGCACTCCTTCCAGAGCCTGCTGCTCATCGCTGTCCTGCTGGGGAACTTTAGGTAATGTCTGAGTGAAACTGTCTTTTAAGTTACGCTCCGTCTGAGCTCCATGCTCCATGCCATTCCGTGGGAAAGTGGCAGATCTACTTCCAGATGGTTCAGCTTGGGAAGTGAACAACTCTGGGGCTGGTACAATTGCCACGGACTGGTTATAGATGTGGAACAGCTTGTCTCTGAAAACTACATTCTCCGCTCCATTCTGGCGTGAGCCATTCTGTTCAGATTTTTCCCGTAGCTTTGCAACTTCGTCACTATTAACATAGATATTAGACACTGGGGCTCTGAAGCTTTCTAATCCCACAGCTCCAATATTCTCATACAGATTGCCCGCTGGCCGGCCAACATTTTCCACATAAATGTTGTAGTTGGCTTGGTGACGTGGAGAGTCTGATGCATCATGGCCGATGCCTCTTGCAGCCAGAGAGAAAGACCGGTCCCCATTATGAAAGAAAAGTTCTTGAGCCTCATCAGAGCTGGTGGAAGTGGTCTGGTCTTTCTTCAGTACAGTGAGCCTGGTGGAATTCCATCGCTTTCTTCCAGCCTCATAGTTTAAATCTCTGTAAAACAAGATGGGAAAGGACATTTTTTGCTAAATATTTTTATAATTGCCATTCACATGAAAATAAGGTTAAGATTAAATATTCAAGTCACACAATTCAGTGTTGCTCATTGGTGTTTTATAAGAAAGTCATACAATGATGTTTGCATAGCTGAATAAGCTCTTACCTGCAGTGAAATACAATCACAGATAAAAATCCAATGGCTATCACAAGAGTTCCTCCCAAGATACCCACAAGAAGGTATGTGTGGTAGGAAATGAAATCCATTGAGCTTGCGAGCCCCATATAACCTAGATTTACACAAAAATAAATCTGGTTAGAGGGCTGCACATGATCATAAGAAGATATGGATTTCAGTGTTAAAGTAAGTGAAATGCTTTTGGATTGATAAATAGTTTGATGGGCTGATGAGTGAGATCTTAAATACGACTGATTCCTACCTGACGATGGTGGTGGTGCGGCAATCCAGTTACCAAGTTGAGGTGCTACGTAATTCCAGACTAAACCGTTTGTCTCCATCTGAACAGTGCCTAAACCTTTATTTACCCAGGTACCTGTGATAAAATATATCTTTAAGTGCTTCTATTGGACACAATCCCAAAGATCTCCTAAACTTGACATACATGGAATTGTGTAAAAGCATGAAGCTTCTACTAAAGTTTTTTTTACAATCGCTAGGACTCTCAATAATTAGGTCACTTTTTCAAAACTCTTCACACAGTTCTCCTAACCAGCTTTAAGCTAGGCACAGCAGTTAATTTCACATTCAGTATACACTTAAACTTTATTGATGTCTCAGATCAAGTAATTTTCCATAACACTAAGGTTGTCACTTGTCACCCAACAAACACACTTCCATTCATTTCTATGCCACTAGCCCCCATTAGGGTCCATAAAGTGTTAAGTGTTGCTTAAGGACTGTAATGATGATAGTTCATAGTCCCCACTTCAAGAAAACAGTGTAAGATCTGACAAGCTTCTTCTGAATGGGTAAGTTTGCAGTCTTTAAATGCTGAAATGTTTTTCAATCACCTATGGTCATGTCGAAGGTCCACGCAGGCAGCGAGTCAGACGGTCGCATGTGGGTGTTGTAGGGTAGGGGTATTTTGAGCTGAATGGGTCCTTTGACGTCAACCTTTATTCCGTTAGACACTAACTGGGCACTGATCATAGCCAAGGGGTTTAACTTGACATTCCTATAACCTGTAATTGGGGATACAATGATAACTGAGATTAATTTTATAATCTGCAGAAAATACATTAGAAAACTATGTAAAGGTGTGTGGTCTATAGAGGATTGATATTATGTGTACAATGTGCCATCATGTTAGCTCTTGTTTAAATCTGGTTATCCTAGCGGCCTGATATTGCCTAATCAATAACAAGTAATAAATAACATTAACTAATCAATGCAGTATCGAGTCTAAACAGTAATGGAGTTTGTAGCTTTCATTGACTAAAACTGCCCTACAATATATTCCCCTCACTTACAGATCATTAACATTCAGAAACACACAGGGTCAGCATTCACTCAATGATAAGATGTGATAAGGAATGACAGGAAAACTGTTTAGATTTGCCTGCACCACCATGTAGTCAGATGCAAAAGATAATTTATCCTTTTTTTCAAATTCATCTTACCTCCTTTACCGCTCAGGTTTAGAGTAAAGGAATTTGAGTCTTTTTCTGTAGGCAGGGTTGGAACTGTCAGATAGGCTGACAACATGGAGATGGTAGTGTTCTCCGACAGTTTGAGGAGACTTTTGGGAAACTGTACACTCGGTTGAAATGACAGATCTGTAATGTGAAAATATATCGATAATACAACAGTAGAAATTTTGTGTGTCAGTATTACATTCAGAGTAGGGCTCCATGCAGCAGATGTATATATGTACTGCATTAAATTATAGATTATAACATTTTAAAAACTGCTCTCAATTTAAAAATAGCAGTATGAATAATTGGATAAAATAATAGGTAATAGGGATGTTTTATCTGACATACCAGATGCTTTTTGAGTTATCAGCACAGTATCATCAAAGAGCCAGATGTTCCCTTGTGTTTGAGGGCGCAGGGACATTGTAATAACAGAAAAAACTAGGAAATAGCATAAAAACAAACACTCAAACCTCATTTCAGCAGCCAAGTTTCTCACATTAAAGTGACATTAGTTGTTTTTGTCCATATATTTGAAAGTCATTTCTTTAGAGCTCTAGTTGGATGTTATATAACAAGCCAGGGCCAGGGTGAGGTCACATGGTTCACAGCTTTCTTGCTGCCTAGTCATCTTTTTCTCACTATTTATTTGTTCGTCTCACTGAGGTGTTTACTGAGCATAACTTGCTAAAATATGCAGATATTAAGAGGAAACTTAAAAATACAATAAAAAATACATATAATTATTACACGCCTATAAAAATCATCATAACAAAAATCAGCCTGATGTCATCAAATCATATAAAATACACAATATCCTAATAAATAAAATAACAAATAATAAACGAAGGTTATGAACTTACTGGGCATCTTGGTGGTTTTCCAAGGCAGCTGGGTGAGTACATAACCCTCCATGCTGGCCACCAGAGTGAGGGTCAGGCCAAGGTGGTATGGGACAGTGACCGTGACCTCTCCATTCTCCAGAGTCTGGCTGGAGTGAATCTGGGATCCATTCAAAAACACACCCACCAGAGCTCCTTTCAGGAACCTCTGGCTAGACGCATCTTTAACCCAAATCTTCAGGGTCAGGAGCGACTCTGGAGACAGAGAAAATGTCAGGTTTTTGTGGAAATGAATAAAAAATGTGCATAAAAATGAGCATAGGATATTCTGGTTGCTTGAATGCTAAATTTTGCCTCGAGCCCTTGAGTCAAAGATAAGAGAATTTTGTTTTTTTTAAATGAATCAAATTAAATGGAGTTTAAGGTTAACCACCACATGCACCAATGTTTATAAGTTCATTGAAGTAACTGAACTGTCATTGTTCAACGCATTAAAAACCAATACAGACAACACTGAAAAAAATTGGTTGGTGACAGTAAAATCTTTGCCTTGAAATAGTAATGACCATTGGACCCACGGCTCAGGCAGAGCGACTTAAAAATAGATCAAAGTGCCAAATGTCGGATGAGCACATCAGTGAAAAGCTGAGGCTTGAGAAACCTTGAAAATCCAATTTGAAATGTCTCAATACTAAAAAAAAAAGAAGTCAATCCCTCATTCTTTGCACATGCAGATCCTCAAAACAACAATATAACCAGGATGACACAATGGCAGGCACTAGAAGTTAGTCAAATAAAGCAACGCAGCTTCAACATTTTTTTTTTAATAACAAATTTTTTTGGGGGAAATGCTTTGGTCTTAACTTCAGACCCTGATATTTAAAGGGGGCATATGATGTTGCTAAAAAGAACATTATTTTGTGTAATGAAATGTGTTTATGCAGTTTAAGGTAAAAAAAACCACATTATTTTCCACATACTGTACATTATTGTTTCTCCTCTATGCCCCGCCTTTCTGAAACTTAAAAGAATACTATTACATTTAACTAGATTACTATAATACAACCATGACCTGGTACTTAAAATGTGTAACAGGAAATTCGCTACTAGGCTATAGCACACAGTAACATTGATGTTATGAAATTAGGTGTTGCTCTTTGTGCTGTTCTAGACCCATCTGTGAATGGCAATGGCAGGTGCATTCAAGCTGGGGTCCAGGAATCCCCAGGGGTCAGCAGAAAATTTAGAGGAAAAAAAAGTATAAAAATAATCTGAATTATTAACATTTATTTTGAATTAATGATCGAAAATTTATTTAGATCTATGTGCAATGTAAACGGCAACTGTTTATTTTTTAAACATGTTTTCACAATATCACATACAATTTTTTTCAAATGCATATATATATATATATATAGTGGCCTCACATTTTAGTAATTTTGGGGTCCTTGACATCAAAAAGTTGAAAACCCCTGACATTAAAGGCCTAATGGATTTGATTATACCATCTCAAACAGAAAGGTCTCGGATGATCCTAGCTCTAAATTAATCCCACCTTAAATGCATAATGACCCTGTACATTCAAGATAAACATCGTAATGTTGCTCAACCATATCAGCTATTCACCTTTAAATAATGTAGACATGGCTGTCCTAAATAAAGCCTGAAATAGGTGGCTTCACTGCAAATGGCCCTGTAGAAACGCTCCGCAGGCTCACAAATAATAGACACATAATGAACGCTATAGGCCAATGTTATGAGACAGCAAGCACAGCGGTCAACAGCGCACCCCTGTCCTTTGTTGTCATGTACCCCATCATGAAAACATCCCTATTATTCGCAAGCACGCCGCATGCGGAGCTGATGCTGAGGATGTAGATAATGCTGAGCCATTACCTGATGGAGGCACCGTCGCATCCCCCTGTCCCTTGAGCGGGGCCGTGTGTGTGTGGCTTGCATTGTCCTCCTCCGACAGCGAGGCGAGCACCCCACCCTCCGCTCCCCTGACGTACCCATCCTCGCAGAAAATCAGCAGCGCGGCGAGGAGCAGACACCCCGAAAGATCTGGCATGGCGTCTCAGACATAACTGCACTCAGTGACACGGAGAAGGAGAATGTTGTTGTCTTTCTGTCTTTAGGTGGCTGTGTATGTCACGGTCACATCATGCTTCTCGGGTGGACCGATGGATATCTGAGGGAGCTGCTGGAGTCAGACGGGTGCGCGTGTTGCGTCATAGCTCACGCGATGCCATCTGCTGGCTAAGTGTTTTTTCTCTTTGTTAAAGCGCACGCAATTACGCAATGCTATTTTCAGCCCTAGGTAAACATTTTACCAGAATATTTTAATTGGTTTATATAACATATTTTAAAATATGAGCAAAATATGTCTCGAAAAAATAGTTATCGTTAAAAATCGTTAATACATACACACAACTCATGTTTTTTTCGCACAAACACACAGACACACACACACACACACCTTGGTGTGTACAATGCATAGACTTCCATTAATTTTCTGTCAGGTTAATGATGTTTTCTGTCACCTAACCCAACTCCTACCCTTAAACTTACCCATCACAGAAACGTGTGCAGAACATTAGATTTACATAAAAACACACTTTGGCTGAATTATAAGCCTTTTTAACTAGTGAGGTAAAATGACAGGTAAAATGTCCTCACTAGTGGGTTGTCAAAGTGAGGACATTTGTGACACTGGACCACAAAACCAGTCATAATGGTACATTTTTTTAAATTGAATTAATTTATCATCATCTGAAAGCTGAATAAATAAGCTTAGTTTCTATTGATGTATGGTTTGCTAGGATAGGACAATATTTGGCTGAGATACAACTACTTGAAAATCTGGAATCTGAGGATGCAAAAAATAAATAAATAGAGAAAATCGCCTTTAAAGTTGTCCAAATGAAGTCCTTAGCAATGCATATTACCAATGGCGGTTCATCGGAGGAGGCAGGGGAGGCACAGCTTCCCCAACATTTTGAGGTGAAAATGAGAGGAGGACGATTTAATGTTAATAAAATTCACAGTTCATTTCAGTTCATGTCTCAGAATGTGTATTTTTTGTATGTAATTTCACAGCTGTAATACCATACCTTGTTAATGAAGTGGGAAAGCGCCGCTTTTCTATCGCGAATGTGCCGAATCTGCTGATGTAATTACAACCGGTAATGATAGAGAAGGGGAGGCGGAGGCCGGGGGAGAGTTGTGCTCTCGTGCCTCCGTTGGTAAAAAAAAATTAGCCAATCACCATCAGTGTTCACTTTCAGCGCTGAGGAGTGTTGAGAAAAGAAACCTCGTAAGGGAGACTAGACTAGAACTAATCAAAAATTAAGTTTTGATAGATTTACGCTAGGAAATTTACAAAATATCTTCATGGAACATTATCTTTATGAAATATCCTAATGATTTTTGGCATAGAAGAAAAATCGATAATTTTGACCCATGTATTGTTGGCTATTGCTACAAATATACCCGTGCTACTTAAAGACTGGTTTTGTGCTAAAGACAGTCCAGGGTCACATTTGGTCCTCACAAGTGAAGTCAAAACAAGTACTGCACACACCTACCTCTAAAGCCACCAAACTAAAGAAATCCCACAAATGGAAGTTAATGGATTACATAATGACAAAAATGAATCACATTTGTCTTGAAACAAATATATAAAAGCCATTTTAACTTTCATGAACAGAATCATCGTTCATTAGCTTTAAGAAGACATCTGAAAGACACAGCAGGTTTTTTTGAGATATTGAAATACCTCCATTTTATTGTAATAATTGTATTATGATGTACAACATACAAACAGACTGTGTGGAAAAAGTCTTCTGTAAAGAGAGTCTTGAAAGAAAAGTGATCACATTTTCTCACTCACCCATTCTCCAAAAACAAGAAGTGTATTAATAACATAAAACCAGGAAATTAAGGATCTTATTTATTTTTTTAAAATCATAAAGATATTGAAAACAAACATCTCCTTTTTAAGCAGTCCGATAAATGAGTGGATGAACGTTCCTCAACTGCACCATGTAAGAGTAAGAATCTTCCAAGATCCTCTCTTTCCCCAAACCAGCTTCTAAGCATAGTTAAAGCACTCATGGTGGTCATCAGTTAACTATTTTTTTTTTTTTACTGAAAGCTTTAGTGCTCACCAACCTGATGCAAAAAAAAAAAAAAAAAAAAAAAAA